TGCTCTGACCCATGCGGTATCTTCCTCCGAGTCTGGGACACCTGTTGTCCCACACGCGTGTTACGATCCATCAGGAGGTGCCTGTGCCCGGCGCTCTCATCCCAGTCACAAGTGCGCATCCCCCGTAGGTACCCCCATGCCTACCGAGACTCTTCCCCTTTGGGATCAAACCAGTGAAGAAATCAATAAAAAGACGCAGCACAACCCGAAACCCAGGCTGACCTACGTGCCTGCTCACTAACACGGGGCCAGGTAAACAGATGAGAAACCGAGTGCTGGCGCGGGGGGGGGGGACCCTTCTGCCGACAGAAGGGAGGAGGAAGCCACCTGGGTGATGGATCTCAGGGGCCCGGCCTGGGGGTGGGTCATGGGGGGGGGAGAATGGGTCACAGCGGAGTCCCCTGAGGGGGGAACAAACAGACAAAGGGATGGCTTGACTTGTCTTTTATAGCCAGCATACATTTACTTCATTTAAAAATCCCTTTAATGTATCAAAATTTAATATATCTTAGCTAAAAATGTAAGCATGAAGGAGCCAGTCACCTGTGACAGCTTCTGCCGCTGGAGTCGGCTTCCTGTCCTGGTTCACAGGATGTTTTCTAGAACCCTGTGTCTCCAGCTTCGCGGAGCACAGGGACTACCCGGGGGGCCTGTTAACCAGACGGTCCGCAGGGGTCTGAGAATCTGCGCTCCCTGCAGGTTCCCAGGGACAGGAGGCTGCTGGGACCCACCTGGGGTGGCGCGGCTCCGAGGGGAAGCTGGGACGGCACGCACAGCCATGGACAGCAAAGGACAAGAAATAACACTAATAATAAAAAAGGGAGGAGTGTTCCCCAGGGACCCCGGCTGCCAGAGGGCCCCCTGGCCAGGGCCAGCCCGGGACGGCCCCACGCAGAAACTGCGGACCTGGTCAGGAAGGATCCAGACGCAGGTGGCGGTCAGGGAGCCAGGGCGGCCCCAGGGCCAGCCTGCCCTGAGGCCGCTCCGTGGCTGAGCCCGGAAACAGGGGCACCCATGGGGGCTGCCCCGGGGGTGCACCTGACCCAGAAGATGTTTCTGTTATGGCTCCGCAGGGCCCAGAATTCCCTCTCCGGTGAGCCAGCTGAGACGCAGTCTAGCACGTGCTGTGAAGTGGCCGTTAACATCATCACTGAAGAACCCAAGGCCCAGAGAGGCCAAGTCACTTCACCAGGGACACTCAGCATGGGTAGAAACGCGGCTCTGGCCAGCCCCAACGGCCGGGCTCTCACCCACTCGACCCCACCACCAGCCTGCACTCAGCGGCCAGGGACTGAGGCAAACGAGGCCGCAGCCCCGGGAGCCTGGGCAGCCTCCACGTGGGCTTCCCGACCGGCCCCGGCTGCTCCCGTCTCTGCCACCTGGGAAAGCTGAGCACGGGCACAGGTGACTATCGAGGTGAGGCCGGAGCCCAGTCCCATGGAAACACCCCGAGGTGGGCGGGGACGTTGTCCAGGGGACAGGCAGTCACAGCCAGCCAGGGTGTGACAATGTGTTGCTGCTGGGACAAAAAGCCTTCCTCGAGGCCCCCAGGGCTGCCTCCTCATCACTTACGCGCGGCCCATCCTGCCTGTCCAGGCCTGCCCAGGGCTCCGGCCCGGCCACGTGTAGAGCAGGGCTCTATGACAGGCGTGTGTTCAGTCCCCAGCCTCTCCCGCCACCCAGCACACATCCCAGCGCCCCTGCCTCGGCTGGATGGTCATTCACGTCCACTCCCCCCGTCGTTTCCTTCTGGCTGGATGCAGTGGCCTCCAGAGCCTTCCTGCCTCTAGCCTCACCCTCTCCACGTAGCCCCTTGTGCTGCAGCCCGAGAACATCCTCTAAAGGCTACATCCGGCCGTGTCCCTCCCACTGTCTGTGGTTTCTGGGGATCTCTGGAGAAACCCACCTCTTAACGGGGGCTTACAAGCCTCGCCTGATCTAACCTCCCCCTCGCTCCCCCTCTTCAGAGACCCCAGGAACGTAGAGGCCACAGTCCCCATTTCACAGCCCAGCAGATCTCACAGCCCGGAAGCAGCAAGCTTGACTCAGACCTGGGTCAAGGTGGTCACTCCCCCTAGAATTCCTCCTGCAGCGCCCTCCAGACTTGGACAGCCCCCAGCCAGGGGGAGGGGGAGCGCCAGCTTGAGCCTGTTCAGGGAGGGGACTTGATTCCTAAGGGAACAAAGAGCTTTGCAAAGAGAAACAGGGGTGCCCGCACCAGGAGCCTCTCCGCTCGGCAGTGGAAGGGCAGGAGCTGGCAGACACCGAAGATGCCAGGCTTGTCAAATCCCCTTTGGAGCAAATCCAAAGGGACAGAGACACTGCAAGGGGGAGAGCAAAGCCAGGCTGGGAAGCCCCCGGGGGGGGGGGCCGGCCTTGAGGAGCAGACCCCGGGCTTAGCCCCGGGGGCAGCCCCGCCTTGGGCAGGCCCCCCGCGCAGGTTCGCAGCTGCCACCCTGTGCTGGCGGGGAAGGCAGGAGCACCCTCAGTTTTGTACCGGAGGAGGCTGCGTGATTTGCCCACGGTGGCCCAGGACCCACACTCTCTGCCACACAAACCGCCTCTTACTGACGGACGCACACAGACCTGCTACTTCGCAGAGAGGCAGGGCCAGGAGCCGCTGGAGGACAGGGCCCGGGCTCTGCCGCCACCGTGACTTGCCTTCTGCCCGGACTCAGATGCAATTTGCGGAGATGTGATAACTCTCTCCCGAAGCCCCGCCTGCTCCCTCGCCCCTTCTGAGTGCTGTAATTATTCCTCGCCGGATGTCACGGCCATCACTCTGTGGAGTGGATCCGTGGAGCTCAGGGGCTTCTATGCGGGACGGGGTCCCTGCTGTGTAGGCTCCGCGCAGCCGGGCCATACTGCTCACCCAGAACCGGCGCCAGGAGTCAGCGATTTAGAGCTGGCCTCCATACATGCAAGGCTGGGGGGATCACTTGAGTTGGGGGGGGAGGGCTTGAGTTCAGGTTTGCCCTGAGATTTCAAAATTCCTCTGTGCTCCCTCCATATGCAGCTCCTCCCCACCTTACACGCTCACTTTGGGGCTGAGCTGAACAGAGTGGTCATGGCCCATCAGGGACATGACTTGAGCCACCCCATCATTTCACAGATGAGAGACTGAGGTCTAGAGAGGGAGAATGACCCGCCCAAGGTCACCCCGAAAGGTGGACAGAACTGGGCAGATGAGTCTTGGCCCCCCTAGCCGTGCCCCCCTTTCCCTGAGTGCCCTGACTCATGGTTGACAGTTGTGCTGGGATAAGCCATGCGTGTCTGGGAGCTCGAAGCCTCGGAGGCTGGGAAGGGCTCTGTGGTGGAGAAGCTGGAACATTTCTGTAGCCCGAGCTCTCAGCAGAGAGTGCCAGAGAGCTCCAGAAAGACCAGCCGATGCTCCCTGGAGCTGCCCACGTCCGTCCCCATGCGCCCCAAAGGCACTGAGGCCAGGAGAGCCCGTGGGTCCTTCCCAGACACCCCCAAACACTGCAGCAGGCCAATTCCAAGCTTGCCAAGCGGGTCGGGACCAGTCGGCCCCTCTGGAAACTTAGCTGGCAGGGAGATGAGGAGTCAGGAAGATCCAGGGCACACGGCTCACCCTGGTATTTTTTCCACCCCATCAGGCAGGTGCCCAATAGCCACTGCCAAATTAAAAAATGAACAAGACCCCAGCTTGCCTGAGCCCCAGCCTCAGGAGGGAGATGGGTCTGTCCTAAGGCCCCAGCACCCAAGCTCTTCCAAAAGCTGACGGTCAGCGCACAAAGAATTAAAGTCAATCCCTCCCCTCGGCCCAGGAAGCGCCTACACCACCCACTTAGGTAAGGAGAGCTTCCTGGTCGTCTAGGCTGTATCCTCAGCACCACTGGCGTAGGGGGATGGATGCTGTCCTAGCAAATCCAAACTTTTGGGGGTTGGAAATCCTCACTGCACCTGGAAGGCCCCCGCCCCTCCAGGCGCCCGGCCCGGCCGGAGCAGAGGGGACACTGGGCGAAGGCTGGTGGGTCGTGCCCCCTGGCTCTCCTGAGCTCCAGCTTCCCGAGGAACGTGAAAGGAGAGCAGGCTGGGGCTAAGGCCTCTGGGACACCCTCTTATCCTCCAGAAGGGTCAGTGCACCTGGCCCTTGAGATTGTTGTCACAGAGTGCTGGGGGCTGCTATGAGATGCGCACTGCCAGGGCTATTCGTGCACACGTGGTCCTCCACCCTGGGAGCACAGGACGCCGGTGGGTGAGGTGGCAGAGCCGTGAGGGTGGACAGGCAGTCTCTCCTGGGTTGTTGGTGTTTGGAGAGTCTTTTAATTCCTGGCTAGGAAAACCCAAATGCCAGTCCAGTGCTCCTCTCCTCCATTTAAGCTGAGATTTCAAACAGACGAAGGTGGGTGTAAGGCCAGTGGCTGTGACTGAGGATGGGGTGTTTGAGGTCAGCTCTCCCACTTACTGGCTGCGTGACCTTGGCCAAGTGACCAAACTTCCCCGAGCCTCAGTTTCCTCATCTGTCAAATAGGGCCAATGCCCATCTCTGATGGGTGTTGAGTGAACTGAATGCATGATTACACAGGTCAGGTGCTGAGCACGGTGTCTAGTCTAAGGCAAGTCTCAGTCAGTGAAAGGTCTCAGCTCCTGGCACCACAGAGAAGGGAGGCCAGGCTCCTCTCGGAAACTTTTCACCCCAAATTTCCTTCATGCCCAGGCCAATAAAGGGACCAGGCGTCCCTTGGCTCCGTGGGTCCCCTGCCTCCGTCTCCCTCCCTCCCTCCCTCACTGCCCACTTGGGTCTCCGTTCACAGCCCACAGCCTCCTCCCCAGGGGCGCACTTCCAGGGCAGATGGAGACGGGACGGGTGATGTGGCCCGGCAGCTGCGTGGGGCAGGGACCTGGCTCCATACTGCCCAGCAGGCTGCAGCGGGCGCCCCAGCCTTCGTGGGCACTGAGCCGGGGCTTCCCTGCCTGCGTGCTCGGCGTCCTCGACCCCCTCGCCCCGCGACCGCTTCCGCCCGCTCGGTCCTTACCTTGAACCATGGGAACGGCGCTGCCCCGGCCGGCCGAGGACTTGGGCGCACGTGACGGGGCGGCCCGGCGTCCGTCCCGGGCAGGGCGCAGCTAGCGGCGGCCGCTCCTGCCCAGGCCACGGCTGCAGCGCCTGCTGGGGCCGGGCGGGCGCGGCGGGCGCTGGCGAGGCCCGGAGGCCCGCGGGAGGCGACTGCGTGCCCGGGCGGGAGCCCCCTGCCAGCTCCGGCTGCGGCCACGGCTCCGGTCGCGCAGGCTGGCTCCCTACGAGCGGCACGCACCGTTCCAGCCCAGTCCCCGGGCGCGGGGCGCGCGCTGGCGGGAGGGCGCGCGCACGAGCCGGCGGGGAGCGCGCCGCCGGCCCCGCGCGCGCCGCCGTCGGGGTCTGCGGGGAAGCGGTTCGGGAGCTGTCCCTGGTGCTGACCGCTCGTCCGCTGCGGGCCCAGGCCGTGGGACCTCCCGCCGGCCTGGGGGCGCCCCGCCTCCGCCCGGCGCCCCCGCGGGGCTCCCGTTGCTCTACGCCTGCTTTCTGGGATTGGGAGTCGGGCTGAAGCTGCCGCTGCTTATCAACAGTGTGACCTTGGGGCAAGTTCCTTACTGGGGAGTCTCTCTGGTTCTCACCTGTGAAACGGGCCATAGCGGTGCCTGCAAGGTTGGTCTGAGAATGCAGTTAAACCAGGTCCAGGGGCCTGGCACACAATGGGTGCTCAGTAAACTCTGGCCATTATCGAGATTTGTTTCCATTCTCGTGGTGAGCAGCCACCAGGCTAGGGAGAAAGGGCGGTGCCTGTCCCGCCCCGGGGCCTGGTAGCTGCCCTTGGGTCTCTCAGGGCAACCGCAGAGGAAGGGAGCAGACTCCTGCCTTGGGACCACAAAGCACAGGTTTGGGTCCAATGGCTGCACGCTGAAGCAGGACAGACTGGGCTGCTTCCTTCCTGACATGAGGTCCCTCCACCTGAAGGGAGTGCTCCAAGAGGCAGCGAGTGGCCTCTGTCCCTGCAGACAGACACTCAGGAGGAGGCCAGAGACTCTGAGCTGAGAGAGGTCTGGAGCTAAAAATTAGCAAAGGATATGTAAGGCACTAAGAACCCTGCCTGGCACGTTGAAAACATAATATGAATGTTTGCTTTTCCAACTCTCAAGTTCTTTACAAGATGCATATCTTGGTAGGAAAAACCTGCTACTTCACTCCAGTTCTAGAGACTGGAATACTGGGGACATAGAGCGGGGGTGAGGGGACCTGCGTGGAGTCCACTCCCGTCTTACAGATGGACCGAGGAGAGAAAAGCAAGCAACCGGCTCAGAGCCACACCGCAAGACCGAGAGGGTGAGTACTTAGAAACCAGACAGACAGGCTCCAGATGTCCAGCCTCCTGCCTCCCCCTCACACGTTCCCTAAGAAAGGTCACTGCCCAATTCCCCAAAGCTGTTCAAGCCAGTTTGAGCCTGGAGAGTTTCCTTATAACAAACTGGGCAAGTACCTCATTCCTCTTAACTACTGGAAAGAGCTGGTGCCTGCCCCTGTGAACATCTCTGTCCCTTCCGAGCAGGATAATTGAACGCCACCTGCCTCGTTTCCTGAGGGATCCGTGGCAGTGTGGATTCATTAATTAACTGTGCACCGTACCTGCTTCCACCAGGCACTTACTTCATGATAAACATCACTCATTATGTGCTCAGTATGCCCCAGACACAAGGCTAAACACGTTGCCTGAATTATCTCATTTAAATCTTCTCACCAGCCCAGTGAGATGACTTTGCTGGTGCAGACTGGAGGCTTAAGAGCAGCAGACCAGAGCTGGCGTAGACTGAATCCCAAACACGTGCTCCTTATGCCCTCCTCCCAGATTCTCGATGTGCTCCCAACCTAGGAAAAAATATGGAAACATTAATAGAAACTCCATATAAGGAGAAGGGGGGGAGAGAGAGAGAGACAGAGAGATGCAAACCGGCCAGCCAATCAGTGCCCAAGGTGTCAGAGTAGGAATCCTTTAAATTGACATTTTCTGTCAAAATCCCCATTAGACAACTGAGCCACTTTTTTTTTTTTTTTAAATTTCAGGATTGCTTAGATCCTGACAAACATGTGCCAAGAATTTAAAAGGAGCATCACTGCCAAATCCTCTCCAGCCAGCGCCAGTGCCTGCCGCTTCTGCCCACGTCTGCTCATTCACACTCGGCAGAATTTCCCAGCTGTGGGTCTGGAGCGGCTGACCTCGTGAAGCACGGGTTTCTTTCCCGGGTTCTGCAGAGGCGGGCTCCCGGTGCCCTTGATGATGCGACCCGAGCCCCTTTTACTTGATCCAGGACTAAATATCCCCCACAACATATAAAGTAGACGCGCTTCTTACTCATACCTTATCAGTGACGGCAGAGGCGGGAAGCGGCTTACCGGCGGTCACGTGGGCAACCGGAAGGTGGCTGCCGTGAATGGATTCCCTTGGGTGTTGACACTCAATGGTCCCCACCAAACTCACTCTTGGTGTGATCAAATCATGACCTGGTTTTAAGCAAAAAGCCCATTTCCAAAAAATAAAAATAGGGGAAAGTGAGGAGCCACTGATCTGACTTTCTAGAAACAATCCGTTGTCAGCTTCCCTTAAATAGCAAATTCTCCTGATGCAGGCGTGCAAAAAAAAAAAAAAAAAAAGATCTGAGCTACACATGATTCTGTCAGGTTGTCCAGAAACGGTCCTGGGGGTGGAGGCACGGCTCGGCACCAGCTTGCTGGTGTTCCTTCCACATCCATATGCTTTCAATTGCACGGCAATTTCAGTTTATGGCGGCTACGATGCCCCCATCACCAGCATCTCTCCTGGGCACAGAGCTTCGTGGGTATAACTCAAATCCAACAGATGCCGAGGTTGAAAAAGCCCCAACACACTGGAACACGGGTGGCAGTTTACAAGGGTTCATTTTCCCCTGGGGGCAAATGGGGCTTTTGTAAGATCAGCCCTGTGCTGTAAAGACAGGACCTTCATGCCCATGTGCTTCTTGGGGGCCGGGGTGGATAGCTTGCAGGGGAGGGGCCATGGCAACCAACGCTCAGTTCTCTCGAGGGCTCCGCAAAAGTGTGTGTTTAGTGTGCAGTCACTGAATCGACGTATAGGAAATAATTATGCTGATGACTGCAGGGGTCTCAACCTGCTGGTCACAGTCACACACCCAAGATGGTCACACATCCATCCGGATGGAGTGAATTACGTCCTTGGAGGCAGAGGATATGCACCCAGCTACGGCTTCTCACCTGAGTCTCATCCAGCTGAGACGCAGAGGAGCCAAGCGCCCGAGGAGTCAAGATTTGCCAGCATGTGGAGAATAACGGTCCAGAGCCTTTCCAATTCCCTTTCTGGGAACCCTCAAGAAGGAGTGAGTTCATCATCTCCAGACGTGTCCAAGCAGCAGCTGACTGTCCACTAACTGCGGACTCGAGCTGGCTGAGCTGGTCCCTGGGGTGGGAGGTGGGGGGACCTCCTCCAGCTTCAGAAGTCTCTGGAGTTTCAGAATGGGGGCTGGTGGCAGCTTAGGGTGCCCAGCCCCCATTTCAGCTGCTCAGCGGATCTTAGGCCACCAAAGGGGGCCCCATGTTGAGTCTTCAAGCTCTTCTTTCCCCAGATGGGCACTAGGTCAAAAGACTGAAGGCGGCTGCTGTCCCACCAGCAAGTACTTACGGAAATTGCCAGTGCCCTCGGGCAATTACTAAATTAACCTTTGTTTGGTCTTTGAATTGTTTTCTTTTCCCGGTCAGTGCTCCTGAGGGGTTTTGCCGCTGGTTGATTGAACAGGCTCTGTGGCGGGTCCACTTAGTCACTGAACCTGTGTTCACCCAATTCCAAAATATCCATCCAGGTCAATCCCATTTACAGAATAGTTTGCTTTTTGTTTTGTTTTGTTTTGAGAGATGATCAATGCCATGACATTGCGATTACTTTGTGATGTTGGCTATGCAGAGTACACTCGTATTCTAGCTCCAGGGCCCTGGATTGGGTATTTTTGTGACGTGACCAGGAGAATAAGGAGGCATCAGAACGTGCAGGAGAGAGCAAGAGCGAGAGGGTTCGTCGGCCAAGCGTGCGGAGGGCTGGGCGTGGGCGGGGTGGGGGCGCAAGGGAGGGCTCGAGGTGGGCGCGGTGCGTGGTGTTTCCATCGCTCTGGGTTGAAAAGGCAGCCTCGTCTGTTTGAACAGAAATTACTGGTGGTTTTCAATGACTGCAACATTTTACAACGTTGTGACAGCAAGCTTGATGTGCTCATTCTTCAGCAATCTTCGAGGATGACGAATGAGGACGAGGTAGTGCTGCGCGAGGCGCTGGGATCAGTCAAGGGTCCCGGGGGCTCCTTCGGTGACTCACGGTTCATCCTGACAGGCCCTGCCGATGATTCTTGGTCTCCTCCGCTTCTGGGAATGTTTCTCCGGAGAAGCGTGAGCAAGACCTCTCAGGATCTCATCATCCCTTTCCCAGCCGGCCCACTCTCCACAGCTCGAGCTGCGCGTGCACGCACACACTCACTCACTCACATGCCACGCACCGTGGGTGCAGACACGGAGCTGAAATGCCCGGTTGCCGGGGAGCCCGGAGTGGGTGAGGTTTCCGAAGGCTGATGAGCCGGGGTTCCCTGGGCCGAGCTGCACCAGGACTGCACTCCCCGTAGCTGACATCGGTGGCGTGCTCACGATCACGTGGCCCTCCTGACAGCCCTGGGAGACGAGAACTCCTCTCTCAGTTTACCCACGCGGCCTGAGAAGGACCAGAGCACTTGGGCCATTGCCGCCCTGTGAGATCCATGCCTGCCACCAGCCCCTGACGCCCGGGCCGACGGTCACAGATTTGGACTGGGGGCCAGGAGGAGGGAGGGTGTGGGAGGGGAGGCAGGTGGGGAACATTAGGGTCAAATGTGGGGAAGCAGGATGGGCGGGGCGGTGCCCCAAGGTCGAAGGCTGCAGGGGTGAGGGGTGGGATGCCGAGGCCCCCTCCCGCCCTGCCTTGCTGCTGCACCCCTCCACACGCACACAGCTGACGGCCTGGGGTGGTTCCAGAACCTCAGCTAAGGTCTTTGCTGCAGCCCATGACCGCTGCCGCCCCTCATGTCTCTACCTGGTAACATGTACCG